GGGCCGCAGAAGGAGACTCCCGATCACCGTGAGTTAACACAGTGGACGATTTTGTTAAAAAGCTTGTGTAACAACTGACAAACGCAAGCGAGGTCGCAGTGCTGGTCTTCCCATTTGCAGACGAAGGGGCTAAGGCCCAGGAAGCCGAACGAGGGGCCGGACGCCAGAGCCAGCGAGCACTGGGCCCAGGGCTAGGTGCAGTCTCCTGGCTTCCAAACCAAAAAAACCAAACCCGTTGCCACGGAGTCAATTCCAACTCATGACCCCATGTGTTACCAAACTGCTCCATAGGGTTTGCTTGGCTGTGACCTTTCAGAAGCAGATCGCCAGGCCTTTCTTCTGTGGCACCGCTGGGTGGGTTCCAATCACCAACCTTTCAGTTAGTAGCCAAGCACAAACTGTTTGCGCCACCCAGGGACCTGTGTTCCCCCTACAGCCCCCCTCTGTGAACAGCACAACCTGACATCCATGTCCACCAGCCCCCCCCCACCATGCCCAGCCGGGGCTGTGCTAAACACACAGCAGACACGGAAAACCAGAAGAACGAAACAAAACACACACAGATTCGAATCAAATGATCAAACAAAAAAAAAGGCGCTGACTTAAAAAGCACAGGCCTTTTGAATCTCCCAAGCCTGCCACGTGCCGCTGAGCTACGTGCTTCCACTGCCTGCAGCTCCGGTTCTTCGTCTATAAGAGAAGGACAAGAACGCGGAGCCCAGGGGGCCGCTGAAGAACCAGCTGAGACGGTTTTACATAAAGCTCCTAATATAGTCACAAGTAGGAGTCCCTCTTTCCACTCCTACTCCTGCTATTAAACCAGTGCGACTCGGGCAACGAATTCCCATAACCCACCTACCCCCCCCCAAAAAAAAAAAAAAAAGAAAAACGCCTTTGGAATTTCTGGATGCTTCTATTTAGGGCTACACAACTCACAGAATAGTCAGGGTTGCCCACAAATTGAAGCACGGGCAGACTCCGTGCATGTGCAAAGGGGGCTGCTGAGATGGACCCCTGTTCTGGGGTTCCGGGCCCCCAGCTCCACCCCTTTCCCACTGAGCTTGTAACCGGGGACTTTCACCGACAGACCAGGAGTGCTGTAAAGGGCAGGATCTCCTTTCAGGGAAGCCATCACAAGGCCAGAGCACTTGGCCACCATCCTGCTCGCTCCCCAATCGGGAAATACTAGGACGCAGCCTCTCGCAACATGAGCAATGAAAGTTTGGAACAATTAAAAGTCCCACTGCCCGAGGCGTGTAAATGAGAGTCACTTCCCCAGGATAGGGCTGCTAGAAACTGGGATGGATTGGAGATGAGTGTTGGCAGATGGACAGAAGACAGGGTACCCCAGGCTGCAGGGAGCCACCAGGCTTTCCATGAATCCTGCAGCTCCCCCTTCCCGGTGGGAGCCACACACGGCAGAGAGATGGGCCGGCCCGGGGCACAGTGTGCCCTGGCAAGGCTATGCTATCCTGCCCTAACAGGGCAGATGGTTCAACGGAGCCACCCAAGGTGAAGACAGGGAGATGAGAGGGCAGCCGGCTGGGTAAGATCCTACTTGCTGCCGCTTTCCCCAAAAGGCCGTTCTGCTCAACCAGGCCAGCCGTTCACGTTGCCAGATAGGAACCTCACTCTTAAGAAAAGGCCCGTGTGAAGACTAAAGGGGCAGAGAAGGAGGAGGAGTCCAGCAGAAAGGTCATTTGCCCAGTAAATCTGAAACTTAGGTCGGAGGAGCGCGGCTCACCGGGCAGGTTCCCAAGTGCGCCGCTCCATCGCCACCTCGGCTGGAGCTGGGGGCGCCCGGAGCGGCACGTTCAAGTTCTGGAGAGCTAGGAGGGCAAGCAGGATGCTCAAATGCAGTCTCCAGGGAGATGGGACCGCGATGGGGAGGTCGCGGGTTCTCTTATCCCACTCCCAGCCGCAAACACACAGACAGGGACACTCGCTGTCCTCTGGGACACAGCGGGCCGTGCTAAGAGAGGCGCACAGCCAGCCCCGGCGTCCAACGCAGAAGTTACTTACCTGCCGGTGGCGCGGTCTCCGGAGCCAGCTTATCCTTCCTGGGCCCCTTCTTGGGCTTGGTCGCCTTCTTGGGCGGCCTGGGCGCCTGCGGCTCCAGAGCCTCCTCCCTGGTTCGCGAGGACGGCGGGGAGAAGGGCTCGGGCTCCGGACGCGCGTAGTAGGGCTCCCGGCTCCAGGTCTCCTGCACGTCGTAGTCGGCGTCCTCGGGGACCCAGGCCTGGGTCCCGGCCCTGGCCAGGGCCACCGCCAGCAACGCGAGAGCCAGCGCCAGCGCCAGCGCGG